TCTCTTTCTTTCTTTCTTTCTTTCTTTCTTTCTTTCTTTCTTTCTTTCTCACAAGCCCAAAGGGACCCTGGAGGAAAAGTAAAACAGCTGCTAAGCACTGCCAAGAAATGGATAGTGTTCCTGGGATTTTGGATCAAAATCCTTTCCCAAGAAATGCTTTTAAAAACAGGACTGGGCCATCTTAATTCTCTCCCTCAATGCAATTAGACGTTGGCACCAACCTTTATTTGCAGCTCTGCAAAGCCACGTCGGTGAACAGCGTTGCCAAATGTGGCCGTGGTGGGTTAAGGATCCTAAATTATTTAGGCTGCTTCAGAGACACAGCGGTGATACAGAAGGGCGGGAATTGCTCCCAAACCTCTCCGGGCATGGAAATAACGCTTGGTTGCCTCCCTTTCATATTTTAAGAATGCCGGGAACAAAGTCCCCGTTGGCCATATTAGAAGCTGTGTTGTTTTTCTAGGGCAGGGTTGGAAATCGGAGTATTTTGCATGCAAGCAAAAGGCCCTCGTCCAGGAGAACGTTGATCAGCTGCTTTGAGCTTTGCCAGAGGGCAAGAACCATGGGAGTTGCAGTCTAAGGCTAACTGGAGGGCCACGCAGCCCCACCTTGAAAGGTTGAGGTGTCTTTGTAAGGCGGTTACCCCAAAGCTGTCGACTAAATTCATTTAGCGTGGCAAATTAAGAAACTTAAATAGAACAAAAATAGAACACAATAGAACAACTACAGCAATGACAACTGGCCAGGGACAGATCGAACTCTGAATCCACAAAGCAGACGGTGACAATGGCACAATTAAAACATTGTGATGATTCCTTACAAAAAACCCACCAGTTAATCTGGTGCTAAAGGCATCATCCTATTGAGAAGGTTGCAAAGCTGGGGTGCCCACACAGAAAATTCCCTTTCCTTCCTAGATTTCTAAAACACCGTGGGGCTTGACCACCATGTAACAACAAGGCAGAATTCCTATGAATTTTGGCTAATCATACACAAGTTACTTGTTCATAAGCGCTTGATCACTTGAGCATGGCGCATCCTGCAGTCAGGAGAAGATAACCTGGAAATGCTGGTCTTTTAATGGAACATCTTGTGGTTTCCAGACAAGCCAGGAATCAAAACACCAAATCCTGGTTTTAGATGCTGGTTTGATAGGAGAGACATACCAGGAGCTTACATAGCCTCCGCCAAGCATTTGGTTGGTTATAATTATACCGCTATTCACTCCAATACTGGCTTATTGTGATACGCAAACCATCTCCATATTACCAAGAAGACTGAGATTACATGGAGCTAGTAAACAAGGATAAGCGTTCCAAGAATGCGTGTGTCTTTCATTTGCAGGCCACTGAATCCAATCTCTCTTTCAAAGGACATATTTGAACCACATCGTCAAACCAATTCAAATCCACCTGGAGGTTTGGGATCCCAGCGGGGATTTCAGCAAACTTTTCTCTGCGTGAGCAAATACACTTGTTCCGAACCCATGCAAAAGTCCAACCTGAATCGATCTTAGATTCAAATCTCAAATCTGGAACAACCAATCAATTTTCCACACTGAATTGCAAATCCAAATAGGATCACAGCTGATTCACACACCCAAAAAAGCAGAGTTTGGTAGCACGAAGGATCCTAATCAGTGTTTCTCAAACTTGGCAACTTTAAGATGGGCGGACTTCAACTCCCAGAATTCCCCAGCCAGCATGAATTCTGGGAGTTGAAGTCCGCCCATCTTAAAGTTGCCAAGTTTGAGAAACACTGATCAAAATGACTGAGTATGTGATAGATCAAACCTAACTCTTTGAAAGCATCAAGAAGCCATCACAAACAGAGAACAATCAACATTACACTTCTCTTGAAAGAAAATGCACGTACTGTATATAGGGGTTATATGGCCTTCTTACTTAACATCAGAAGAAACACCCAACTTCTGCATGTAAATAAACTGCAAAGAGAAGGAACATTTTCTTACTTGGCAAAAAGACCTACAGTTCCATGGCATGCCTGGTCAAATTTATCTTTTAGTGAAACCCTCCATGACAGAACACAAGACAAAGTTAAATGCATCTTTCCACTAATTCAAATGCATATTTATAATTTACGTACTGTGGTTTACACATTCCAAACAGGAAAACTGAGAATATGACAGTCCAGAAGTTTGAAGACCCTTACCCTCGATTTATTACTTTTTTCTAAACGATGACGTTGTTAATAAGGCTCCAAAAGGTTATTAAACTCATGAGGTTTGCAGTTAGATGGAGTAGACAATTCCAGAGGTGGACAAATATTGGAACACATCTCAGGTTATGATTGCTGTTCTGTCTACTTTCAACAACCACTAACCACTGGAAAATGAAGGAATTTATTCTTACAAAGCAAGAGAAGCTATTTAAAAAAAAAAAAATCTCTACATGCTTCCAGCTCATAATTTCAACTTTGAGAACCCTAAAGAAACAGAAGCTATGTAAAACCACTAAAGTCCAAGTAAGATCAGGAAGACCCAGAACAAATCTTGGTTAGAACTGCCTGAAAAGTTAGGGATTTACTGAAAGATTTCCAGCTGTCCAGGTTTGATGCCCGATCTCTGCTTCCCACCAGCTCCGCTTCAAACCTTTTTGAAATGGAAAATAATTATTCTCGGCGAAAATGAGCCCTTCAACATTTATTACCCCATAACAATTAGACATGATTAATCAATCAATGGATTAATCACAGTTTCAAAAGCGCAGTTTTAATGAGAGTTGCTGGAGATTGGCCTTCTCCAATCTGCAGCCCTCCGGCCGTATCGATATGTTGACCAAGATGGGTGGGAATTTCAACACAAGGGCAAGACTTCAGGTTGGGAGAATACTACTGGTATTCACCTCTGTGAACTTTACAATTCAGACAACACATTTTAGAGAATTTTAGAGAAATCCTGACCCCTAACCATTAAGGACTAGTAATTAAGCCTGCAGAAAAATCCATATTTTGTTACACATGTGATGCTAAACTCATTAGTGCTGATTGGCTGGGCTTCCATGACATCATGGAGTGCTTAAAGCATTCCATCTTCATGGCGTTTCTGTGATGTCACAGAAGGTTTACAAGCCTTCTCACTTTGGGGGGAATGAACCTGTTGGAATATTTGCAGCCTATGTTTCAAGGGGAGGAGAGGAATCCCTTAGCTGGCATTTAAATCTCATGTGGTTGTTGAGGACAGTTCCAGACAGAGCAAAAGCCAAAAAAGTAAAAAAATAATAAAAAAAAAAATACAAATGCAACGAACAAATTCAAAACCAGGATCCAAGTGTATGTGGAAGAAGAAACAGAAGGAAGCTGTTGAAAAAAGGGAGAGATAAAGAACGCAGAGAGCACGTAAGAGCTGGGATTGTATTTCACTTGTTGATTTGAATTAGCCATCTAATTTCTTAGCTGCAGGCTAATTTAACTGTACCTTGAATCATTCTCTCTAAAAATGATTGGTGTGTATGACATAAACTATTATCTCCATCGAATTGTTTGCAATTAGTTACGGTGGTATTTTTCCTCTAAAACGGTAATCTTATACTCATTTAACTTGAAGGAAATCCCTTTGAACTCAAGAACATGTAGGATTATATTGTAAGTGCCTAGAATAATTATAGTTCAGTTACATACACACATGCGTACATACACACACACACACACATATACACACACACACACACACACACACACACACAAAATATGGATTTAATTAAATCTACTTAAATGAAAGGACCATTTAAGAGAAAAAAACTTGCTCAGATCAAAATAAGGAGAAACAGTGGTCCTGTTTGTTTCTGTTTTTTAAAGGAAGGCTAGAGGAAAATTGATTCTCCCAATTCATAAAACAGTGGGGGGAAAAAGTTTCCAGCGCAAATTTTAAATATTCAAATGCCCGCTGCCCCCTCCACCCCGCGTCCCCTTCCGCGTCTCCTGGCCCTTTGTTTCCTAAAGGACTGACGCGGCAAGTTGTAGCCCAGCGGCCACCCCTTTGCCCCACCAGCATCCAGGGGGGCGGGAGGGTCTCCCTTTTTGGCCTTCGAGTCCACCAGTCGGTCCAGGCAAAGCTTCCCTTGCCCCTTTGTTTGGGGCCACGAGAGGCCCACCATCCTCCGCAGGGCAGCTCCCTCCGGTCCAGCCGGGTGCCTACCCAGCCACCCTCCCAGCCACCCTGTTCCGAGAGGCCTACAAGAAAGAAAGATTGAATCTAACCTGCAAGTTCCACGAAGGCGAGCGAGGGAATCTGGCAGATCCTTTGAGCGTCCGGTCTGGATCCGTAGCTATTCGTAATCCAAGGTTGCAAAGGGGCGGGTGGGCACCTTGGGGAAAAAGATAGGGCAACAGCTGGAGAGGGAGGGAAGGAAGGAAGGAAGGAACCCAACCAGCCTCTTTCCCCGTGCCCACTGGGATGGCGAGGCGGTGCCCGGCTAGCAGCAATGGCAACAATGCCTTGCCTCCCTGCTCTTTGCAGAGTGCCAACCTCAGCGATTCTATTCACGTGCCAGTGAGGGTGATGCCAGCCCCAACCGGCTTTGACTCAGTGCCAAGTTCAGGCGGGTACAGAGGTGCCAATGGGAAAGAACTGGAGGGGAGACGGACGTTGCAGGCAGAATAGACCAGGGGTGCCAAGGCCCACCTCTCTGTGGCTCAGCCGAGCAGCTGCTCCCCCACCCCCGGCCCCCAAGGTTGCCCCACTTGCCTGCCCACGCCCTGCCTTTCTTTCCCAGGGTGATCTATTGCTGCATCTCGCTTCGCTCCGTGCCTTGTGCCATTCCTGAATTCTCGTCCTGAGTGCCTGCAGCGCTTCAGGGGTCCATCCATCGATGCCCGTCGCCACATAGCGCCCATCGCCTTCCCCCGCCGTTGCTTTTGCACCCCCTTTCCCACCCTCTCCACGTCTCGCCACCTGCCGGCTGGTACCCAAGTCTGCGGCTGAGGCCGGGGGCACGATGCCAATGCTCCCAAACGCCCTGAAAGACCCACCAGCCTCCACCCGGATGCCAGTCAGTTGCACTGGCCTTCTCTGCCTTCGTCTCCCCGCGGGCACAGTCATGCCAGCTGCTCTCTCCCTTCCCTCCTTGCCGTGCCCCCTCCCCATGCTGCAATTTGTGCACCAACCTGGCATCTCACTCTCTCTCGCTCTCTCCCCCCACCCGCCCAGTTGGCATTGGAGATGGTGAGCAGAACGAATGCCGCAGAAAGGAGGGAGGGAAGTGGGGAGGGTGGCAGGGCGGGCGGCTGTTCCATGCCAGCTGTCATCACCCCTCCCCTGTGCAGAATCTCTCCTGGTATCCGACTGGCATATGCCACCTCCCCCTGCCATCTTCCTCTCTTCCCTCTATCTCTGGCTTCGTCGCTCGAGCCATCTTCTGCTTCTCTGCCCTTCTTGTTCTCCGCACGTTCTCTCTCTTCCTTCCCTGAGACCTCCGGGCAACATTATTCCACCTTCGCTCTCCTCCTTTTCCTCTTTCTCCATCATCCCATCCTTTCTGTCTCTCCCACCGCCCCCCTTCACCAGCGCCAACCTCATTCCAGCACCCATTCCATGTACCGTCTCTGGTGCAGGTGCCCTGCTCTTTATGCCAACCACGGGCAGGGAGGGGGGGTGGGGGTGGGAGCATGTGTGTGCATGACCAAGTCTAGCGTCCCTCCCGGGGAAGCGACACCCCCCCCAACACAGTCTTTCGGCTTTCATCTCGCCCGCCCCACCCGCCGTTGAAAGTGGCACTCTGCCAGCCCATAAACAGCCATCTGTGCCCCCGTCTGCGACCCCCTCCCCCACCACAGCACTAATTGGCAGCTGAATTAATTAAGTCCTGGTTGCTAATTAACATTCCAACGGTGGAGTGCGGGGAAGGGGGGACCAAGGGGAAACTTACGATCACCGCAGCAAAACCTGGACACGGGAACGAAGAACCCGCAGCGGTGGGTTGGCAGAGAGTGGTTTTATTTGCCCCAACCCCAGGACCCAGAGCAGGACGGGTTGGGGAGGGAGACGCGCCATGCGAAAAGCGAGCAATTAGGGCAAAGTTATCAACTACGCAGCAATCGTTTTCATAAAGCTTCAAGCTGAACGCAGAGTTAGCAATGTTTGAGAGTCAATATTCACCTCCAAGAAAAGGGGAGGGGGGGCAACCACACCACGGTTTTTACCAGTGCGGATAAAAAGTCACAACAATGGGGGTGGGGGAGAGAAAATAAATAAATAAAGCCCCCAAGCTTCCTTTTTCTCCTAACGTAATTGCTTTAATAATTATAATAAAAAGGAATTTAAAAAAGCAATTTCAAAGTTGCATAGTATATAGCAGTGTTTGTCAACCTGGGCCACTTGAAGATGGGTGGACTTCAACTCCCAGAATTCCCCAGCCGGCTGACTTCTGGGAGTTGAAGTCCACCCATCTTCAAGTGGTCCAGGTTGACAAACACTGCTAAAGAGGGAGGAAGATATTGTCACTGGGGATACTCAGTGCAAAATAAACTCTCGAGAGCGTTTTCAATTTCAGAAAAACACTTGAACCGCAAGCTGAATGTTCTCCAATCAACAGGGAGATGTTTCCCATTGGTGGCACCGTGCCCTATGCCCCTTCCGTAACTCTAGCCAACATGGACAAAGCATGAACCGGCAGGAGGTCATGGGAGCTAAAAAGCAACCGGATGAGTGAGGCCCTAGCAGTCCTTGGCATTTTTGCTCTTGACCGAGATAACGGAGTTGCGGACATTCACACCTTCTTCACGTTACTGATTTATTCATTCAATTTACAGAGCTGCCCGCTTGACCTGCTGCCCAGGGTGACAGACGTGGTTCCAACCAACCCCAAATGAAATAGGAGAAAACCGATGGCATCAGAGATCATTCAGACCACCAAAAACAGTCGAAAGGGGTTCACAAAACTTCCTGACCCTGCCCTCAGCAGAAAAACCACATCTTCCGAAAGACAGGCAAAATTGGGGTCATCTGGATCTCAAGAAAACCGTCCCGCCAGGAAGGACAGAGGGAGGCATGACTCCTGGGTCCCGCTTGAGCGACGGGACCTGAAGCGTGCCAGCCCTGTCGGATCTTATTGGATGGGCAAAAGTAATTGGAGACCAGAGGCAAACGCATATTCCTCTGCCCCAGCAAAGTCTGAGCTAGCAATTTGGACTGCAAAGCAACTGGGGCTTTGCAATACAGTTGGCGACACCCTGAGCATCATTGAGAGCAGAGGCGAGGTCATCCGCCACCCCTTGAGCACTGGAAGGGAGCAGCCTCGAGCCTCTCCATTACTGGACTGCAATCAAGATCCTCCTGTGCTAATGTAACGGGATGTGGGAATGACTTTGGGAAACAGAGGAAGAGCTGCAAAGGTCGGATAAGAGGCAGCGGTCCCCACAGCAGGAATGGGGGCATGGGAAAGGTCTCAGAAGGGACCCTCCCTCGTTTCTTGGGCTGTAAAGAGGACGGGAGAGAAAGGTCCTTTCAGACTTGCAAGATGCTGTTAATGTAACCTTACGGTAAAGTAGAATTTGGTCATCTGGGCATGCTTCCTATCTGGCCTACCTCGCAAGGCTGACATCAACCTCGCAAGTCTGAAAGGACACCTCTCCCCCATCCCCTTAACAGCTCAAGGAACTAGAGAGAGTCTCTTCTGAGACACAGCCCTGCTATGTTGATCATCTACATCAGTGCTTTTCAACCTTGGCAGCTTGAAGATGGGCGGACTTCAACTCCCAGAATGCCACACCCCATTCCTGCTCTGGGCTCAGCTGCCTCTTATCCAACCCTTCCTCTGGCTGTGTCTCCTTCCCCCGTCTCCCAAGGTCATTCCCACATATCCTTACAGCTAACCAGGCCAGCACTGCACAGATCCTAGACAATGCAAATCTCTGAATTGGAAGCTTCGCTCCAGAAAGCTTTCCAATCCAGGACAATCGTTGATGGGAGTCCAGACCTTGCGCCATGCCTGGAACACCGTCACAGCGCATGGGAGCTACGGCTCTTCCACCGTGTTTCTTTTGTGAGCTCACCATCTCCCCGGGTTTTATTTTATTTCTGCATTCTTTTCATTTTAAGCAGCGGGAAGACTGCTGGGCGGCATACAAATGTTCAAGATCCAACCGCCCCTTTATTTCTAAGGATGCCTTTGGGGACCAGAAAAACGCTAAAGGCGTTCCGAGGAAAAGAGTGACAGTCACAGCAGCTCTCCTAGGAGAGAAGACATGGGCTCCTCTCCCAGAAAAAGAGAGAAAAGGAGGCTGAGATAGGAAGGATCACCCGGAAGTTGGCAAACAGCTCCTCTTCTGGGGAATGCATCTTTGCAAATGCCAGCTTGTGATGTGTGTGCAAAACTCTCCCTTTGCCCCTGGACGGAGAGGCTTCAAACCCCCGCCTTAAAGCCACGTTCCGTTGACTCAGCCACGAATGCTGGTTTCCTACCACGTCCCTAGCTAATGTCAAACCACGCTGGGGAGTGGGAAGGTGGTTTGTGTGAAAGGCGATGCCAGTTTTCCACCACCAATACTGCTGAATCTTCTCTGGCCCCTGTTTCTAAAGGGAGGCAAAGATGCAAATGTAAGAGACTGGCTTCCCGTTTTCGTCTTAGCCACCGGGGCTGCGGATGATGGGAATCGTAATCCTTCCCCCCGAGACATTTTGGAAGGCTGTTCCCCCTCCTCGGCTGGGCTGTGGCCAGAACGATTCAGGAGGATCCAGTGGAAGATAAACCCGAACAGTGGCTGATAGAGAAAATCCGGAAAAGTCTCATTTGCGGCAAGAGCCCCGTGTTCATCGCACATACGAGGACCACAATAAACTACAGAAACTCAGAGGAACCACCTGCCATTGCTGAAGTCTCAAATTTGGTGCAAGATACTCCTTGCAGAAACTTGCTTTCTTGCTCTCTTTAATTCAACCACAGCCAGTACTAACAGATAGCCGTGGGAAGAAGCCCAAATGTCCACCAGCTAAGCTATAGGGGCTGTGAGCTAGTGGTTACAGCTTGGGACATTCTTAGCTTATTGCAAAAGGCGCACGCAGGAAACTTGAGGACTAGCCAAATGTAAAATTACAAGCCCTGCTATGTTTATCATCTGTATCAGTGTTTTTCAACCTTGGCGACTTGAAGACGGGTGGACTTCAACTCCCAGAATTCCCTAGCCAGCCATGTTTATCATCTGTATCAGTATTTTTCAACCTTGGCGACTTGAAGATGGGTGGACTTCAACTCCCAGAATTCCCCAGCCAGCCATGCTGGTCATCTGTATCAGTATTTTTCAACCTTGGCGACTTGAAGA